TTTCGATCCTTTCATGATCGACCTATATAATAGGATATAACAGAACCATATCTTTAGACCTAGTTGATGGACTGGTTTTGACAAAGGAGACAAATGAAGATCAACGCTGATTCAGAAATCATCAAATTCCTGGTATAAAGACACTGCATTGATAAGGAATAGCACAAACGGGGACACTTGTTTCAACCTTAAGGGGATATGAACATACGATTAGGAAAATAACGTAGAAAGGGTGTCTGTGCACTCAAATCTACAGTACCAATGGTATCGTCAAACTTTAGTGAAATATAATAAATTACATTAGTTATGAAAGTAGTCTTACACGTGTCAGTCTAATCAAATAGAAAAGTAACACAAATGTGTGAAACCGGTTTCCGTATGAGTCAAAAACATACAGTCAACTCTGTTTATAAAAACAAAAAAATACTATCATGTCAATAAAAATATCATCTAAACCTAAATTCAATAAAACTGGGGGAAAATAATGAACAAAGGAAAAATGTACTTGGAGACGCCTGAAAATGAAGGAAAATAAGACCAAGTGTCAGGTAAGAATAACTGCCCTCTGCTTCTTCGAAGACACCATGCATGTAAACCTTGGTGAATCCAAGTAAGTAATATCTCAAATGCAGTAAATATTTACAAACACTTCTCCCTGTCCATAGGCTTATCGGAAGGTTGTGATTATGCTTTACTGACATTAGAAGCTTTACATGTATAGAAAAGTGACTGAAGGTTTATATAAAGTAATTGATATTATGTGTATATATGTATAACGTATACAATATCTTATTTACAATGCATTATTTTGGTAACTATATTATCATGCCAGATATTTTGAGTCACCATGTGACCACTATGTCAGTTATTTCAGAATGTTTACTTTCTTTATAATATATAACAAATAGGAATATTAAAACACCTTGCCGAACCCTATTCTGTTGATATAAGCTGTTTGCTCAGAGCTAATAATGGAAGCGGAAGTCATGCTAACTTCATATGATTATGATATCATGTGGGGTATGGAAACATTCACTTTTCTTAATGAGAACACTTTTTAAATATAGTTAAATTTGCTTCACAGAAAAACCCAGTGATAATTGATGATGATATCCGCTGTCAGTGATACTAAAAATTAGCATTACCTCTCGGAACACACACGGCGCAGAACTTACATTCATACGAAATCTCATTATCTCTGGAAAAGTGAAAATATCTAATAGTAAACTCTAAGAAAATACTCAATAAGATTGATTAGATACTCAATATGTAGTAACAACACCATGATTGTATATTGTATATTGTCCCTTGCAAAGAAATTAAGACATATTCCTGTAGGACAGATTTGTAAATGAAACCCATATGACGATTGTCAAAATATTACACAAAAAGACATGTAAGTGAATGTCATCTTTAGATATAAACTAAGAACACAGGTGGACACAGTATGTTATTTCATGCTGAGTAAGGATTGTGTTTGCAAAATACAGCTGTTTTTTTTTCTTCAAAGACACTTCAGTGATGCCTAGATCCTAACGCTTAAAGAAAACCCGGCGGAAAATCAGGAAATTACTATTCACTACTAAGAAATGTTAAAAAATATATAAAAGGGCGTGGGCAACGAGGCGAAAGGACCAAATTAAATATTTTTTTTATAAATACATGATTATTAATAAAAACAATATGAAAATCAGGTATTGAACAAAGAAAGCAAATGATTGATGATAACATCATAGTTCAACCCAGAAAACTTTGAAGATATCGAAAAAAGGAAAAGAGTTTGGCATATGATTGACTTTTAAGGTAAAAGTCGATAATTGCCTGGAAATTTATTATTTTGGGATTTTTATGAATTTCTTATTTTTTTTTTTTTTTTTTTTGCATTTTGGTTTAAAGAAAAAAGTATAATTAGAAGCATGTTCTTCTCATACAGGGAATATACAACACAACATGCTCACACATTTCCAACGGATGGTTCTTGGTAAAACAGAGGAAACAAGACAAAATCAGTAATATTAAGTACAGAGAAGATCGGGTGCGCATTGCTGAATCAAACATTTTATCAATTAATATAAAACAACTGCAAACTGAATATTGCAGACATCTAATAAACACACAATAAACAACAAAATTGATAAAAGTATGTTATACACTACATCAAAAAGTTAGATGATTAATAAACTATATAATACAACAACAACAACAAAAAATTAAATGTAATGAATTTAAAACCCACCTAAAAATTAATTGAATATACCACAACACGCCGAAAAAATACCAGAATAGAAAATAAAGAATCGCTTAACAGAAATGAAAAAATTCAAATGTAAATATCATGTAACAAAACACGTTTATAGATATAAATAAAAGTATTACACAGTTAGTACTCTTTTACTGCATTCGAGATTGTAATCAATGGCTTATATTATATGTAGTAAACGGCAGTTCAAACTTTATGATTTTTAAAAGAATTTTGTACCCTATTATCAGATATCAGCTAAGTTCTGGATTAAGAGGGAGCGGTAAAAAAATTACATGAGAACGTTTTGTGGAGAAAAAACATTTAAACTGATATCGGTTTTAACGGCAATGGGTATCATTGTTGATGTAATATCAACAAACAGAAATAATTTCAATATCATAATTCCCAACTAATTATTATACACTGGTAACGGGTTATACTTCCATCCGTTTATATTATATATATATATATATATATATATATATATATATTGCGTTATCAACATAAGAAAATGATACATGAAATTACTTTCAGACTGGTATTTTAATAATGGAAGCTGGAATAGGTGTTTTTATGTCAGAGGATAAATTTGTTAATTTTCAAAAAAATAATGTCTACATGACATTTCATGTAAATGCGAATTTAGATTAACAATTAGAAATAATGATAAATGAATTGATGTAACATTATGTTGGTGATCTACTTCATATAATAAAAAATAAAATACTGACGATTGGCTACAGGAACAAGGAGATTAACGGTGGTTCACTATCAGATACATCCTTATTGGATGTTAATTGGTTTGGTTTTAAAAAACAAACTTTATTGACATTGGGGTAATTATATAGGAGGTCATTAGGTTAATAGGAACTTTATTCTATATTTATGTCTTGTAAATTCGATGTGACTGATAAATTGATATCAGCAATATCTCGCTTAGAAACAAATAATGTCAGATTATAAACAATCGAGTAATGTTGAATAAATTAGTCAGAATGTGTGACTGTCTACTATTGTGTAACAGTATATATATCATGGGTGTTAAAATAATGAAAGGACCAATGCCGTTTATTTATCATACGGTGTATTTTATTACACTAATATGATAAATTTGTTTATTTTATTCCGAACTGAATAATTTCCTCTCGTGAACTATATACGTGAAGTAATAACGTTTTTCATTGATAAAATTCCAAATACATTTGGTGTAATTACAAAGAAAAAATTTACCTTTTTCAAATGTTTTCTTCTTCACGATTTCAGCGTTTTTTATTTGATACTTCTGCTTAATCTTGAATTGTGTTTCGCAATAAACTTATTCTAGATTATTAATCCGCATAAAAATAATATTTTAGCTGTGTTTGTACTTTCTATAATTCACACACACACACACACACACACACACACACACACACACACACACATATATATATATATATCGTATTCTTTCTTGAAATATTAGAAAAGTGTTGTTACTTTTATAACTGTGTTTGTACCTGGATAAGCGATGTCATTGTCATATATTGGTATGAGAAGAAATATATAAAGTTTGTCTAAATCTGTGATCAGAATTTCTGATGAAATGACGCGAAAATAACGAAAGCGAACCGGTTTACAGAACATGAATAAGTCCGTCAATAGAAAAGAAAATATTAATTAAGGCGTGCTAATGTCTTACCATGTAAATCACAACAAAGTGAACGTTATGTCAAAGTGAACGTTATGTCAAAGTGAACGTTATGTCAAACGTTCACAGTGTATTATACCCAGACACAAAATAAGCAATATCAGTGAATAAAATGCAGTGGTACTGTTATAAAGATAAACTGTGTGACACCTAGAAATACCTTAGTTTTATTAGATACACATCGATTATACCAGCAAATGATTTTTCTTTTACGACATAATTTCGTTGTTATATACCAATAAATATAGACCATAAATGGAGAAGCTAAACTGCAATGGAACACAAATATATACAATGTAGGGGCAGGACAGAACAAATATTCATAAATTGTAAATGAAGCGATATGAAATGTTACTCAGGACAAACATCATAATCTTATATGGAATTCGTATGGTATACCAGTTTGTATTACTTGTATAACTTTTATATATAATATAGTTTAACTAAATATATTAAATATACTATACAGAAAACATTTTCATAGTATACAGGTAAAAACAAAACAAAAATATAGATCCAAGTATCCTTATAAGAGAAAGAGACTATCGACGTCAATTTGTATATCCAGCAAATCGGTTAGCGTTAACCCCATTTACATCAAATAAGGGCTCCACTCCATAAAGCTGGTGAAGTGATGCAGACTGGTGTTATACACCCCAGCCAGACGACGTCGCCCGCTCGGCCGACCGACGTCATCGTGACAATCAGATAGAGAGCTATTCTATTAAGTCTTGATTTTGAACTACCTAATTAAAATATACACATGATATATAGTTGAGTATGACAACTTTTCTAGACTCTTAAGATAAAACGGTATTGTAAATAAAGTCTTTGCCAGGAGATACCAGATATTAATTACCATTTTTTCTTTAAACTCGTCTAGTAATTTCTCCAAGATGATAAAATGTCATAAATATAAGGCGGATCGAAATGTTAGATTTAGAAGTAGTATGGATGTGATTTCATGACAGTCAAAATCGGTTTAAATTTTAAAAATCAAATTTTGAATGATTCAGGTAGTCATAATATCTTCAACTTGAATATCTGACACTAAAAAGGAAGAAAGCCTACCTCAGGCATGGTAATATCCACCGTGTAATCCCAAAACTAGAAAATATCACGATGTTATGTCGTCAAAATTTAAACGTGTAAATTTACACGTAATCAACTAGAAGCACATGTAGAGAGAAGAGAATCAGATGTTGTATTCTCTGTTGTACAATACGAAAGCTGAAAATGACTTGGGCAGGTAAATATATAGATGTTGATATAGACAAAATTTTGTAATGCTACTTAGAAGTAAGGGTTTGTAGGAGGCTTGCAGACAAGTGCTTGCATTGATATTCATCTTACAGCTTCTTTGGGAACACTTGGGACTCTAGGGGCCTTTCTTTATCGAGTGTCAGTATCTCACAACGGACACTTTTTTGACTTTACTTATTTACAACTGAAAAGAAACTTATCTTGTAAATATTTACTACTTTATAAGCAAGTCCTTTGAGATATGAAATCTGAGGTGTTCCTGTGCTGCGTATAAAGGACGACTTAAACAGCTGTTTCATTTATGATGTTGTATAATAACGATCAGGATCAAACTCCGGGCCTTGAGAGGATGTGTGTATTATAATAAGGTCGAGCGACGTACTTTTGTGGTCGAAGGGATTACAATTCTACTGCTCATTAGCCCAGCGAGAAGGAACAAAACACTTGGCAGGCTATTAAACCTATAAAACCAAGAACCAAGATAATTGGTAGCGGACTTAATGTAATGGAGCTCTATTTCTCTTATCACTGACGTCATAGTTTGTTTAAGGCTATATCGAGATTTAGCTCCCGAATAATACACGGAAATCTAACAGAAATCTACAGCAAACGTACACTATCATGATATCCAAATATCCGGATTATATATATGAATAGAAAAAAAACATAATAGGTTATATGTGAAAATACCTGTTTTAAAAATTTATCAACTTGAACATGTGCATGTCATTTGTGTCCAATATATTGTTTTTCCACTCAAAAATAGCTTATTAAAAACATTGAGTTGAACGAGGTTTACAATAAATAAAAGAAAATGATACGTCTGAATACAGTATAGAAATGGTATGCTGCAAATATAGTTTTGAATAATATCAAAGACGAATTTATGGAAACCTACGTGAAATATCGTAATCTTGTCGCCTGACCTGCCTGGCAAAGAACCAAGACTGGAAATTGCCTCGCGATAGCAATACTTGTAGGGTCCTTAGAATTATGTATCAAAACAACATTACACTTAGGATTCAAAGAGCTGACAAAATGCATTTCTTAAGTACTTATTACCAAGGGTTGCTTCATTATGTTTTCCAATAATTACTAGTTACAACATCACCTGCCATCTTCACGTGAGTACTCTATCATTTTAAAGTCGTTTTTATGGGGGAGTCATGCATGTTGTCGTGGAGACCTTATTGGAAACATACCATTAGAGAAATATAGATGTTATGTCTAACTGTCGGATAAAGATTAGTGTTATTTCAGTTTCGCAATACCTTTCCCTTTGGAAACTAATACATTTCTGTGAGGAGTTGCTTAACAAAGGTCTGATGCAATAGTTCTGCATTTAAACAAAGAAGGAAGCGTGCATGCGCGGAAATGTCCTTAAAACCATATGTTGATTGCTTTTGACTTTCAACTGTTAATATGATCACATACATGAACTACAACAAAAAATTGTACACTTTCAGACATACGTACTATAACAGAACTATATACTTACATAAACTATGATACAGAATTATACACTTTCACACACATGCACTATAACACAGAACTATATACTTTCATAAACATACATCATAACACAGAACTGTACACTTTCATACACATGAACTTTAACACAGAATGGTACACTTTCATACACATGCACTATAACACCGTATTCTACACTTTCATACACATGCACTATAACACCGTACTCTACACTTTCATACACATGCACTATAACACTGTTGTACACTTTCATACACATGCACTATAACACAGTTGTACACTTTCATACATATGCACTATAACACAGAACTTTACAATTTCATACACAGCACTATAATACAGAGCTGTACACTTACATACACATGCACTATAACACCGTACTCTACACTTTCATACACATGCACTATAACACAGTTGTACACTTTCATACACAGCACTATAATACAGAGCTGTACACTTTCATACACATGCACTATAACACCGTACTCTACACTTTCATACACATGCACTATAACACAGAACTGTACAATTTCATACACATGCACTATAACACCGTACTCTACACTTTCATACACATGCACTATAACACAGAGCTGTACACTTTCATACACATGCACTATACCATAGTTGTACACTTTCATACACATGCACTATAACATAGTTGTACACTTTCATACACATGCACTATAACACAGAACTGTACACTTCCATACACATGCACTATAACACCGTACTCTACACTTTCATACACAGCACTATAATACATAGTTGTACACTTTCATACACATGCACTATAACACCGTACTCTAAACTTTCATACACACCACTATATTACAGAGCTGTACACTTTCATACACACGCACTATAACACAGAATGGTACACTTTCATACACATGCACAATAACACAGAATGGTACACTTTCATACACATGCACTATAACATAGTTGTACACTTTCCTACACATGCACTATAATTCCTATTTCGTATTTTATTCTAATATTGTTTAATATGTAAATTTAGTCGGTAAAAAAGAATGAGTGAAACAACATCTTTTTGTATGGTTTAATGACACCATATCGTTATTGGTTTCATCAATATTTTGCTTATACATTTATTTACAACCCTAAATGTGCAGAAATATGAGGTGTTGGAACTATTATAGCGTATTGTTTTCAAAACATCACGTTATGTTGAGATAAAATGTGATGTCAGTATATGTTGCAGCGTAATATAAAATGATATTTTAGATAGAACCATTCAATTTAATAGTTTTTGAGTATAACGTACCATAACAAAACAACAATAATACATATTGATGAGACAAGGTGAAACAATTTTGTAACAACAGCAATATGTACTTGTAAGCAATTACGTATTTACTTTGGTACTATTTATGTTTGTTTACACTATTGCATCAGATATAATTTCCTTTTTTAGTTTTCACTAGGAAATTTATACAACGAACAACTGATCGTTCCAAAATACCACGAAAATAATTAATTCAAAGACAGACCGAATAGATACAATGTAAAAGGAATAACGTAGATATAGATAGATATAAACATAGTTTTAATAAAGAAATAGATAACAAATAGATAAATATAAAATGTTATAACAACCTTCAAAGCGGAGCACGCGCCTTTACTCTCCGCTGTATCTTTCCCTGCAGGTAAAATAACAAATCGAAGTCAGATGAAGAGAGTTTTCTACCTAATAACATACTAGTAGTTACAAAGGAATTGAAATCAATTCAAGTCTTCAACTCTTGAACGAAAATAAACAAAATATCTACATGGACATCTAACCAATTTGAGAAAAGAATGAAGATATTTGAAAGATGGCTGTAGTATCGAAATTTGGTAGATGTCTTACTTTATAAATATATGTCTATATATAACCAATATATATATGATCATTTAAGCAATAACGACAGTGCGGACGAGTGACTTGTCAAATTTTCGAAGCAACCTATCCATTTATCTAGACAATAAATTACATCACATACATAGAACACAAAATAAGCAACAAAAACACCTTAAGTTGTGGTATGAAAGAAAGTTATTCAAATGTAAAAATGATTCCCTGTAACTCTCGGAGGGTTGTGTACTGTAGCCACTGAACTTCTGTATGATCGCAGAGAGAGAGAGAGAGAGAGAGAGAGAGAGAGAGAGAGAGAGAGAGAGAGAGAGAGAGAGAGAGAGAGAGAGAGAGAGAGAGAGAGAGAGAGAGAGAGAGAGAGAGAGAGAGAGAGAGAGAGAGAGAGAGAGAGAGAGAGAGAGAGAGAGAGAGAGAGAGAGAGAGAGAGAGAGAGAGAGAGAGAGAGAGAGAGAGAGAGAGAGAGAGAGAGAGAGAGAGAGAGAGAGAGAGAGAGAGAGAGAGAGAGAGAGAGAGAGAGAGAGAGAGAATGTGTCACACTCGGAGGAGTTTACCAGGGATGGGGGAGGGGGAAGGCGACAATCTTAATCCTGTACGAGTTGTCTAACCAGACCCGTTTGAAGTAGCAAGATCATTGTTCGTTCATGCCGATAGGGTAGCAGGTTTGGAGTGTCGTTCCTTACTAAGGCGTTGCTGGTCACCGCAACTTCTGCAGTGGTCAGTGGGTTCCACCTGCAGGTCATGCCACGCATAGCTGGACTTGTTGAAATGTCTTGCTACAGGTAGATCCGGGTGTTTCTGTTTGATAGAACATCATTGAATGTTGATCCTGAGATTGCGTGGCGATTTTGGTATCCCCAATATATTGCAAATGACACTTGGCACACGTTCTTAGGTATATTACAACATACCGGCTGTAGTATGTGGTAGTTCTGGCCGTTGACCTCACATACGGGCAAAGTCTGCACCTCTTACTTCTGCATGTTTTGAAACGGCTACTTGCTGTAGTGCTTACAGCTCACCACCAGGTCTTTGATGTTTTTTTCGGGTTGCGATAAGCTAGTATTGGTGGTGCTGGGAAAATGTTGTGAAGTTTACTGGACGACAGCAGGATTTGTTAAGTGTTTCTGGAAGATTGTTGACACTGGTGGTCCATATTACTTACTAGATTCTAACTAACATACACACATAGTTATATAGAGATATATAAGTATTATCGACAACCATAGTATATAGACATTGTATAGATTATATATATATATATATATATATATATGATCAATGAAGTAATAGCAACAGTACGGACAAAATTGTCAAAATTTCGAGGCAACCTGCCCCTTTATCAAGACACAAATATTACATAAATTACATCACATACATAGAACATAAAACAAATACAAAGTTATAAATCTAAATCGAGAGCGGTGGTGTAAAATTAGGTGTCTCGATAATCCCTTCGGTCGATGGACGCCGAAGGCCCTTTATAGGGGACAAAATCCCATCCCTTGTTGTTGTATGTAAGATGGTGATTAAAATATCAAAAATGTTTTACATAAATC